TTTTTTTTTTCCTTAGTGTGACCAAATCTGGCCAAGTAGATGTAGCACCCATTATTTTATTTTTTAAAAACATCCTTTTTTTTTTACACTTTAAAACTTTGGACAATTTTGACTTTAAATTCTGTTGTAACACCCTTTATTTTACATTTGTTGGATGTGTTTATGCATATTTAACTGTGTGTGTTGTTGATTGTGATAGGCCCAGTACATACTGATCCACACTGCTCTGATTGAGCACAACCAGTTTGGAGAGACAGAGGTCTCACTGTCTGAATTCCACTCAGCGCTCAACACTCTCAGACAGAAAGATGGCAGTGACCCCAGTTTGCTTGAAATGGAGTTCCAGGTTTGTCCTCCCTCTTTGATTTTCAGCTGATTGGTTATTAGGACACTGACATGTCCTGTACTGTGTGTATCTTATTGTTAATGCAGCATGTTTTCCCATTGCTTTCCTTTACAAAGAAACTGCCCAAATTTAAAAAATGGAGAACGTTTAACACGGGAAGCAGCGAGGACAACAAGAAGAAAAACCGCTACTCAGATGTTATCCCATGTCAGTGACCAACACCAACTTTATTAATCTGCAGATCTTGGTTTCAAATGCATGTTACAAAACTATATATAATGTACAGACACAAATTTACTTCTTCATTATAAGTTAGCATTAGATGAGTTACCAGTGAGCATTTCTGTTCCAGATGACTTTAACAGAGTCCTGTTTAGACTGGACATTGAGGGCAACCAGACCAGTGATCCAGAGGATGAGGACGAGTATTCATCAGATGAGGAAGAAGAATCTAATGAATACATCAATGCCTCATTCATTGCTGTACAAAACTTGATTCTCTTGAATTTATATTATCTAATATATCGTTATTTTTTAATACAGTTATTAGAGTGAATGAGAAATTGTTTCATAGATTAGAATATGTAAATATGAATCAAATATGCTTGTTATTGCTTTCCAACAGGGCTACTGGTGTCACAAGAGTCTGATCGCAGCACAGGGGCCTTTACCAAACACGACGGCAGAGTTCCTGCTCATGCTGTACCAGCAACAAACTAAAACACTGGTCATGCTCACAGACTGCCAAGAGGACGGCAATGTACGACCTCCCACAATAACAGAGAGAGAGAGAGAGAGATGGATAAACAGACAGACAGAAAGATTGAGGGATAGATAGACATGCAGACAGACAAGCAGTAAAACTAGATAGCCAGACGGATAGATCAAACAACAGAAAGATGGGTAAAAAGAGTGACAAAGGGAAAGACTGACAGATGGAAGGATTGACAGACATAGACAGACAGACAGAGTTAGATAGATAGATAGACAGACAGACAGACAGACAGACAGACAGACAGACAGACAGAGATAGATAGATAGATAGATAGATAGATAGATAGATAGACAGACAGACAGACAAACAGAGATAGATAGATAGATAGATAGATAGATAGATAGACAGACAGACAAAGCAACTGACTGATCTCTGCCCAGTTTTTCAGCCCATATTTATTTTTTTATTGTTTCAGGATTATTGCTATCAGTACTGGGGAGATGAAAAGAAAACGTTCGGAGACATGGAAATTGAGGTAAAAAAGACAGAAAGCTTTCCAATGTATGTGAGACGGCGTCTGGAAATACAGTCCACAAAGGTAAGCAGAGTCCTTCTCCTCAGCATGAATATCTGTGACGTCATTATCTGCAGACATATGAATCCATTTTGAATCCTGTAACAGAAGACAGACATCTTGGAGGTGGATCAGTACCAGTTCCTGAAATGGAAAGGCCGTGAGCTTCCGGAGAACGCTCAGGAGTTAATAGAGATGATAAGGGTCATCAGAGAAAACGGCAATTATGACAACAGCAGAATGAACCGGAACATCCCCATGGTGGTGCACTGCAAGTAAGTCCATCAACAACAGTTTTTTTCCTGATGGACATGGGTGGATGGATTGATGGATTTTAAACTTCCGTAAACTTTCAATTCAGCAATGGATCATCGCGTACTGGAATCTTCTGTGCCTTATGGAACCTCTTGGACAGCGCATACACAGAGAAGCTGGTGGACGTCTTCCACGTAGTCAAAAACTTGCGCAAGGAGAGACAGAGGATTGTTGAAACAATCGTAAGTTCTTGCTTTGTTTATAAAAACAATATACCTTAGTCAGGTTAGATGCTATATTGAATTTAACGCAGGTGAAAACAAGGCTGTGGGGGTTAAATTTGCAGCTTTACAATGGCACACACTGTATTAAGATCCTAGCTCATGTAATTTTTCTCAACCCACAACTTTAAAAACTGTTTTATGATGTTTTCATCAACTAAAAATTTTGTCGGCTGACAACTCGGTATGTTTTTAATGGTACAATTCATTGAATGACTGAACTTATCCCTCACATCCTCATTTTCATTCCTGTCAAAAATTACATTTGGCGCTACCCTGACTAAGGTTTATAGAAGAATGGAAAAGCTTAATCATCTTGTACTTTCCGTAAAATACTGATCTGTACCATTTTGGAAAAAAAAAATAGTTTGGGATTTCCATTGTTATTGTAGAATATTTTATGACCCTTGGTTATCCTTTTCTATGATTTACACTATTCATATTTTAGCATGGGCTTATTCAAACTGTATATCTTTGCTAATGTTTGCTAAATGTGACCCTGGAGCACAAAACCAGTCTTAAGTCGCTGGGGTATATTTGTAGCAATAGCCAACAATACATTGTATGGGTCAAAATTATAGATTTTTTCTTTTATGCCAAAAATCATTAGGATATTAAGTAAAGATCATGTTCCATGAAGATATTTTGTAAATATCCTTCCGTAAATATATCAAAACTTGCTTTTTGATTAGTAACATGCATTGCTAAGTACTTAATTTGGACAACTTCACAGACGATTTTCTCAATATTTAGACATTTTTTTTTTTTTGCACTCTTAAGATTCCAGATTTTCAAATAGTTGTATCTCAGCCTATGCTAACAAATCATAGATCAATGGAAAGCTTATTTATTCAGCTTTCAGATGACATATAAATCTCAATTTCAATAAATCGACCCTTATGACTGGTTTTGTGGTCCACGGTCACAAATGTGAAATCTTGCACTTAAAGGTGACTTCAAAGATGTTTTAACACAAATTAAGTGTAGTTTGCAAATACATACCACATAGGCCCTACAAGTTCATAAACAATCCATGAACAAATCATATTAGTCTTTTGTTGCACGTTAAAATGCTTAAGTACTTCTAAACTCCTCACAGGAGCAGTACCAGTTCCTCTACACGGCTCTAGAGGGCGCTTTCCCGGTGGAAAACGGCGCCGTCAAGACGCCACCGGCAAACGACACCACTCAGGTCATCAACGAAACCACGGCGCTTCTCGACGAGCCCAACAGCACTTCTGGTGCTGACCAGAAGGAGGCGGAAGAGAGCAAAGCCGCAGAGAGCAGCGAGCAGGAAGCCAAGGAGAGCAGCACTGCTGAGGCTCCACCAGCAGAGGGAGAGAAACCCAGCACCACCAACGGCCCTGCCGCCACCGTAGAGCTTTAAGCATTTTGGGGGCTAAAATAGTTTCGCTAATTTGACACCAAGTGTCAAGGAGTGATTTTTTTTTTTTTTTATGCTTTTGATTTCTTGTTTTACATTTGAGATTCATTGTACATTAAATGTTAGATCCGAGTTTTTTGTGGAGAATTCGGGTTAGGATCTGACTGATCCATTAAAACGTACGTTTCTGCCTCAGGTTTCGGTTTGGATTTTCTGTATAGGCTAATGATGCTGTTTGTGTGAAATCTGTGCATATTGATATTGTTTATTCACATGTGTAAAGGATTTTCTTTATGATTTGATTTTTAGGCTATCAAATTGCGTTTTGAATGTATTGTAAAATAATACCTTAAAGACGATATTTTCTGTTGATGTTTTATTATTATTATTATTATTTTTTTTTTTTTAGTTTGGAAACTGTATCAAAGCACAGCCTTATTGCATCTAAATTATAGTGCCTGAAATGTTTGATGGAAGTGAATGTTTTTATGTTCGAGAACAACCAAAAAAAGGGCAAAGATGACTTTGCACTACAGGGCTGTCATCAAACTGTCTTTCATTTCACAGTCGTCCCCCCCCCCCCCGCACACACAATACATATTTGATTTTAAGCAGATGTAACTTAACAAAAAAAGAATAAAGGATAGCTTGAACAATACAGCAGTTGTGTTTTACCTCGCTATAAGCTTCAAACAGGTGAAATAAACACGAGCAAAAGCGTGTCACTCGTCCTGATCCAGGTCAGACCCTCTTTATGGTTTTGTTAACCCGTTTGTGTCCTCGTCAGGTGCATGAACCTGGCCTAGAAAATGTAAATAATGTAAAACCAGAAGAATATGCCTATAACGTAACGAGCATTTGTAACGCAAACATTAGCCACAAGATGGCGCATGCTAACAAAGAAGTAAACACACAGACACGTCCATCATAGCCAGTGTGCTTTTGGTATGAATAATATCACATTTGAATTAAAAATATGTTTGTGATGATAGACATAAAGAAAATATGTCAGTTATTTTCACTATAGAGGTATATAGGCTATAGGCTAATAAAAATATATAAGTATGCATATAATTTTTAAATGCAGAAATGCAAGTGTATTTATTATATATTTTTTATAAAAAAAAAAAAATAATTATACGATTAAAACAATTTTAATTACCTAAAAAAAATATTTTTAAATGTCAGGAGATAAAAAAAATATATGTCAAAAGTTGTTTTATTGACTGAAATTATGGTTTGTTGGCTGAGGTCTCCAAAAAACTATTTGCCTCACTTCATTTAATTTTCCCCTTTAAGTCAGTAAAAGAAAATGGGGCATCGGTGGCCCTGCAGTGATTCAGGAGAGAGAAATATTTGTCTTCTCATAACACACTGGAATAAATAAATAAATATGTTTTTGAAATCATATTATTTTAGGCCCAAATCCAGAGGCCAATTGTGGGTGAATCGTGAAAGGAGAATTTAAAGCTCACTATCTTCCTGTTTTTTATTGCTTAACCACCATAATTAAAAAAAAATATATATATATACTGTATCAGAATGGCACCTTTCACTGAAATTATCTAATTATATCTGCAGCCATTTTGACCTTTTAACCGTAAATGTGTAATTGTTAAAGCTAAGCTTTGAACGTTATATTGGGCATCATGAGGTGAACGCAAGCGGCTTTTACTGTGAGCCACGTCTGTACAGGTCAAAGAGGGAAATTCCCTTCAAATAGATCATCAGTGAATCTGCGGAGCAGCATTTGCATTCAGCTGTCACATGTAACTCCACCCAGCCATGCAATTATCATACCATCTTTCATGCAACATTTGTGACGGATGTTTCCCTCTTTCAACTTACTGTTGTGTAAAGGTATCAGAATCAGGCCTCCGTTCTCTACTGTATGTTGAACAGGTTATATATGTGAAACTGCCCTTATACACTCCATAATTAGTGTGTTGCTCTGTGACGGGTTTCGCCTCTAATTGAGCACTTCAAGCTCACACTAAATACAGCAAATTAATTCAAAGATGTTCAAATGTTCACTGCGGTTACTCGCTATGCATGTTAATATGCTATGGCCATGCTGCATATCTGTAACTGGCAGAAAATGCATGAAATATGGGCGCAGGACTTTATATTTACATTTAACGCATTTAGCAGATGCTTTTATCCACAGCCACTTACAAGTTGTTGTTGGTTTTTCCGCTTTTATGAGGTATTTAGGGCAAAACAAAACCTATTAGTAATAAAATAGTTTTGTTTTAAATGTACTCAAATATTTGTAAATTTGTATACAGGACACTACATAAGGAGATTTTGTTTTTGGTCTATAATCTCAAAGTCATTATAACATTTATGTTTCATTTTTGTATTTGCTAAACACCTTTATTTTTGTTTGTTTGTTTTGGATGGGTTGTTTTTTGTTTGTTTTCTTTTGTTTTGTTAGTCTGTAGGTGGATGAAACACAAACATGCACTTTAGAAACAAAAGTTTTGACTGATAAACAAAAAAGTGTAAAGAAAAACAGCTTATTTTTATGCCACTAACTTGTTCGAACATGTTTCCCAAACATTCCCCCATTTGCTATTGGTCAAAAAAATGTAGCTCCGCCCCTAAAGTCATGCTATAGACAGAAAGCTGCCTTTGAGTTAAATTATGCACATGAACTAGATTTTGTTTTTGCTCATTTGTTTGTTTGTTTTTGTAAATTATTATTATTATTATTTGTTTTTAGTTTTGGCCTTTTATCACTTTTTACATTATTTTAATATTTTAAAACAATAAAACTTAGATTTGTTGTTGTTTAATTAAAATAACTCATACTCATGTTGCATCATCACAAAATGTTTTATCCCAAACTGAAATTATAAGAACATATTTATGGTTTACATGTACAATATTTGTATGATTTATACAGTAGGTTATACAATAAGATTTAGATTTTAGCATAATAAACAGTGTTTTGAAATTACTACATTAATTATGCTTTTTTAAATGCCAGCAAACCATTTTTTTTTCTGTGTTTGTTTTAGGGTAGGCAGTTTTTCAGTTGTTCAGCAGTTTGTTTTGTTTTGTGAGTCTGTGGTTGGATGAAAAACAAACAGCTCACATTCACATTAGAAACAAAAGTTTTGATTGAAAACAAAAAAGTGTAATGATAAACAACTTGTTTTATTGCACTAGTGTAAACAAACCAAATTTCAAAGATATTTGTTTTCAAACAAAGATTTCTGTTTCCCAAAAATATCCACATCCGTTACTGGTCGGAAAAAATGGTAGTCCCACCCCCAAACTCATGCTATTGGCAGAGATCTACAATAACGAGCTACAACCGGCCTGTTTTTAATTATATTTATTTATTTATTTATCTTTCAGATAGTCAGACATTTTATGGGTGTTATTCCAAAAATAATCACTTAAACCAGCCTGGGACATGCGTTATACTCTTTGGACATATCAAGATTCATTCATTGATCTATGACTATAAATGTCCCGACACACATGTGGCTCCTACAGAGTCATCCCGCTTCGGTTTCTGGCGAGACACTGAGACTGATTCAGACGGCCAGACCTCAGGTGACGCTCAGCTCCACAGCTGGAGACCCATAACATCAATAACGGCATCTGACTGTGGAGATGATGAGCAGCTCTGGGTCTGAGGGTCTGCACTTACACCTCATTTTACATTCAACGAACGAAGTGACCCGAGAAGCCAGCGTAACTCTGTTTCCATTGAGAGATGGCATGATGGAGCTCGCTGTGAGTATGTTTTGGGGTTTCTGAGTGAGGTGTGCACGTGACCGCCCGAGACGGCCCAGCCCCAGACTGAGTATTCTAATGCAAACAAGGTCTCTCAGCACACAAAGAGGCTACATATCTCGTACAAAAGATGTGTTGAGCCCGTACACAACCCACACAGTGTCCAATGTCCTCATACAGTCATGTTTTGTCTCTCTCTCAGTCTGTATGAGTCTTGAGTGGTACAGGCCTGGAACAATGAGGAATTCACATACACTTAAACACACTGGGGGTGTGTTTTCGTCTCTTCGGGTCATGTTTGGTATGATGTGTGAATCCAAGATGAGGTTTTCAACATATTTCTGATATCTGTGTCCATTTTGTGCAATTTAATGTTGTATTCGTTATTTACGCACTTGTAAATGCATCTCACACATTTTCTACAAAAAAGCTAAATCTAATTTTTATTATGTATTTGTTACTTGCAACATTTTGACGTTTTTCGACATTTGTTTTGGGAGTAACATGCAAATATCATGGTAAATTAATATGGCAACCATTCAGTGCTACAGTATTTATAAAAGTATCATGGTAAAAATGCCTTTTTCCCTTGGATTTTTATCATGGTAAAATCATGGCATTTTGATGAAGTACCATGGAGTACTGAGTACATAATACTAAATATTATGGTACATGAATATGGCAAATATTTAGTATGTATAAAGTGCTATAGTATTATGTTTCATAGTACATAGCCCATATAAACATGATACAGTATCATGTGTGGTAATATGATAAACCATGATTTTTTTTTTTTTTTTTGGACACAATAACATGGAAATACCATTATTTTTTGGACATATTTTGTTTTGTTGTAATGTATATTATCGTGTAAACAACATTTACCATGATTGACAGCCATTTATTTTATTTAATAAATATTTTTTTATTATTTATTTATTTTTTATTATTTTATTTTATTCCATTATTTACCACTATCATTAATTTTTGCACATATGTAAATTACTTTTCCATAAATTATTTTTTCTAGGATATTTGGATTTATTTGCTTTTACATATATAATAGAATCTCTAAACAAATTCAGTGGCTTTTAGTGCTCATATGTGACAAAGCAATTACACAGTGTTCATATTATAGGCTAGTGATATTAAAATAATATTGAATAATAAAAATAAACAAGAAACTACTCATACATAACGTAATTATTCTGTAAAGGTGTAAATGAACAAACGTAATATCAAATAACAATTAAAAATTAAACTCATTAATTCAACAATTAATTATAAATAATAGCAATTATAATTGTTTACAATAATAACAACAATAATTATCATTATTATTAGTATTAGTGTTATTATTGCATAAGATGGTCATGCATAATGTAAAGATGTGTGTTACACAATAGTGTAATAAGTTTTGTTATGTTCCTTCCAGCCTGTATACAAGACCTTTTGAATTGAGTGTGGCTCACAGGACACGGCGGCAGTAAATGATATATGTGCTGGACTAATTCATGATTGTATGTGTAGTGAATGGGTGTGCCTGGCAGGGCCACTGTCTCAAATAACTGTGACGCTCTATTGCATGGCTCATTGTTGCGCGATAACACTGCGCCGGGACGACAGACGCCCCCGCCCCCTGGAACACCAATCAGATTCCCCGTTTCCAGCATATAATTCCCCATGTAGGGGCCATTTATGAGGCATTATGGGAGCACTTTAAAATCTCATTAGACGGGACAGCTGCACTTCGATACTGCATGCTGCTTTAGCCATTTCTATTATTGCTGCTGGGGATAGCGCTACCCCCTCTGTTTTGAGATGAGCCCCATTTTGGGAGCTTAAATGAAGCTAATTGTAAGCTAAGTCAAGAGTGTGTGTCTTTGCAGGCGGCATGATACATAGTAAAAACTGTAATGCTGCAGGCAGAAACAAGGCAGTAAAAAATGATTTATCTGAAGTGTTTGTGTATGTACAGTGTGCAAGTTGACGAGATGAGAAAATATATTACTAAATTCATCAGTAGCATATAAATAAACATGGTTTCTTTGAATAATTAGCACAAATATTGTGAATCAAGCGCTCGTCAATTCACTGGTGGCTTCATAATCTGATATTAACACATTTGCTAAAGGCAATCCAAAATAAAGTAGGAAACTGTAAAATGACAAAGAAATATTTTGTATTTCTCTCATGCTCTCATGAAATTCTCTCATTTCTTCATTTTGTTTACAACATATTTCTAATAATCTAAATTGCACTGTAAAACCTGAAAATGTGTAATTACATTAATAAATTATTTTACCTGATCTGACTGTTCAATGTAGCCATGCTGATTCTTTTACATTAAATAATATGTCTGAGTAAAAACAGTTTTACCATATTTTTACCAATTTACCACATTTAGATCATATGAATACACTTTTAGGTTAGCTGACAATACATTTTTACAGTCAGACAGACACAGCACAGAGAGGGTTTTTTTTCATGAAAGGAGTGCTATTTGTGTCCAAAATATCAGATTTATTTATGAATTAGTAATTTAATATTTTTTTTTACATTTTAATTATTATTTTAAAATATATGTAATAATAATGCATTGTTTCATATATGTATTATATTTTAAAACGATACATATTTTTTAAATAGATATTTGTAAAGGAGTACATGCATTTTGACATGTTTGTATTGCCAATCATAAAAAAATCTATTTGAAATATTAATAAATGTATTCATAATACATAACATGATAAAAATGTATTGAGTTTTCCTATTAACAACAGATCAAATTTATCTTAAAAACATCTAGGGTTAAAACAGAATAATCAGACTGAGTCTGTGAGTCAGAACACTTATTTTTCTAAAAATAACAGTGCACTGTCACTTTAAATAATCATAAAACCTGCTCAAGAGGAAGTGACATCAACCAAGTCTTCAGAGGAGCCATGTTTAAAACTTGGTAAGTACTGATTTAACATTCATAATATGTTGGTTTATCATGCTTGATAGGTTTTGCCATATAAAATGATCAGTGTTTTGTACTATTTACAGAAAAGTCATATTGTTGCTAATGCTAATGCTAGGAAGATAAGCCTAAATAATGAAGTAAAGCAGCAATTTTATTTTGAAATGGCAGAATCACCTGCATATAAGCGCTACAGTGTTTTTTATTCAATCTATTATGTTGTTTGTGACGATATGGAAGAAGTATGGTGGATATGTGTTTAGAAAAAGTCTGAGGTTGCTTTTTTGTAAAAAAAAAAATAGTGTGTATTCTACATTAGAACAGTAGGCTATGATATAAAAGGTACATTTTCTTTATACATAACATTTCAAAACAACAACATAATGGCCCTCCTTTCAGTGAATGACTTTAGTGTTTACTTAATCATTAAATGAAAACATAATGCTTCTACATATAGGTTTTAAGGAATGTCAAGTGCATTGTATAATGCATTCATTGGTTTTGTGAAGAACAAACCCTCAGAGAGTGCCGTCGGTGTGTTAGGAAAGACACACGCTCCAGACGGAGGTGAGCACACTGGTGTTCTCTGTTCACACCTGATATTTTTGGAACTCTCTTGTTCCAAATCGTGAGGGGAAAAAGAAGGAGGGAAAAAAATTGTCAATGTTTATGTGGAAAGCTCAGCGCTCAGATTCGCCTGCCATCTGAAGCCAGTGAGAGAGAAGAATTTGGCGGAGAGTATTTTTAAACCCCAGAGAAACCTCAAAGGCTGTACTTAGAGGGGGTCAGGCGAGGCAAGATGGCGGCGCGCCATACAAAAACCTCCCAGGCAGCTGGGCCTTTCAGAGCCGGTCTGCTACTGAAGTCACTGTCAGGCCTATACCTGTGAAACCTATACTTCTCTTTTTCTACAATAGTCTTGTTAATGCATCATTATTTCTGAACAAACAGGCCCAAGTCTCATTTTTGAATTTTCTGAATAGTGGCAGATTTAGTCAAGGTCACATGCTGAACAAAGCGGGTTTGATTTGATCAAAGGGCGACACATATGTGATAAGGATTATCTGAGTGAGGAGATATACTGTGATCACTGCTGCAGCATGAGACACGTTTAGGATATTGGAGCAGACGTTCTCATAACATCACATCAGATCATTCCCTCTCAAGAGCAGACATGAGGAAGAGAGAGAGGAGTGATATGACTGCTGTTCGAGAGCAGCTACAATGTTTTTAACAGCTATTTCTATGCGTTCAGTCAGCATACATTTTAAATTGACTCTGTTTACTTTGATAACACACATTTCTGGTCTTACTGATGACGATAAACATTCATTGTACATTTTTAATTGTACGTCATTATAAATAACTATATAGTTCAGTCATGAAACTCTAGATGGCACAGGCGACGGGTTGTTAACATAACCGATGATATTCAGAGAGTTAAATGACTTGGCACAGCTGATTGGTTCATGCTGCATATGCAGCCAATGAGCTTACTGCCTTGCATTTATATGGCTGGCTAGCATTCACTAGAGATTCCTGCAGCGCGCTTTCAGTTTCTCTGAAACCCTCCACCTTCTCCAGCTCCACCTGTATAGATCTGCTACGGGTTATTTTATATGCTTTTTGTGCAGCAGCAGTATGTCTTAAATACTCATGGCACCGTATCGCCGTATGCATTGGCAGTAGCAAGTTCCTGTACTTGCTTGCAGTAGCAATAATCTACAACTACAGCAATAACCAACAGCAGCAGCAATTCAGCAGCAGCGTAGCAGATCTATTCCGCCAAGACCATATACATTAACATTGTCATATCCATCACCATGCTAAAATCTTCCGAGAGTTGTCATGATTGAACTGGATATTGATAGACATGTCCTGATTAAACTCTGGTTCAGTTCTGAAGCTCTCGATTTGATTTTGATTCATTTGTTACATTCTGTATTTTATACATTCTATTTTTGTATCTCCCAAGTTCCAAAGGATGACAAAGTAGAAAAATTGTATAATAAATGAAAAGAAAACAGATACAAATACAAAGAGATTAGAAAGCTAGTGTTAAGTTTTATATATATAAGAAAACAAGCAGCAAAATTGGTTGCCACCTACTGATTCAAAAACAACATGGACGAATTCAGTGAGTTTGTTCAATGAAGGATTTATCACACTTATTCAAATAGTAACTGCTTTATGAGTTCCTGGATATTTTTGAATGAATCCTTAAAAAACAGCTCAAAATGCATTCGTGAATCATTTTGAAATTACACTTGTTGTGCTGTATGTTTTTAAGAATCTGTTCATAAGAGTAAATCGGACTACACTTGTTGCAAACATGTTGCTGATTCACTAAAAAGAACTTGTTCATAAGATTGATTTCTTTGTGAATCGGACTTTACTTGTTGCCCATGCATGTTGTTGATTCATTGAAAAGAACTTGTTCATAACAGTCATTTGTAAGTAAATCCATCTGTAGATATTGAGTGGATACTGAGTGCAGCGCGCGAGGACGGCTCAATAGAAAGATGTTTTCTTGCCTTTATTTCACGGTAAACGCCTTTTGTTTTATCACCTTCAATTCAGACTGTAAACTCGGGGAAAATATGACTTATTGTGCCGTTGGGGTGTAAATTGAACAGCAGGGAATGAGTTTTATTTAGCCTTTCTTCTTGTAGTGTGACTAGCCTTCACGCTAAATCTTCAGAAATTGTTGACAACAGCCAAGATATCAGTTATTTGAGTGCACATTTTTAATGATTTGATTAGTTTTATGTGGTTTTACTTGGTTTTAATTAGGGCTGCACGATAAATCGCATGTGATATTTAACGCGCATCTTATCAGTAAAGCCGGTTCTGTAATCAGCGGTAAATCTCCATCACCTGCGTGCTTTCACATTGAGCAGCATTAACTACACAGAGCCGTTGTTCACTAACGAGCTGCGCAAAACCACGTTCATATTCGCGCGATTTGTAGTTAATGCTGCTCAATGTGAAAGCATGCGATTTATCGTGCAGCCCTAGTTTTAATCATCATGTGGTTATTTATTTACGCCAAATGTATTAGGCTATTTAGTCAGAAGGCTCTTGGAACCAAAAAGAGAACCAACCAAAGCATAATACTTTTTCAGTAGCCTATAGTTCATTACTAGATCTTCTAGCTATAGGAACTGACCCAGATTTCACAGAAATGCATCCATATGCGCCGCATGCCTACACATTTGAAAGAGCACGTAATCTACATGCTCAACGAGCAGTGACCTGTAACAAGAGCACGTGAACTGTATCGTCCAGCTGACATTCTTCGCCATATGTTTCTTTTAGACATGGTAGATAGTTTTGTAGCTAAATAAGCACCAATTCGTAACTTCACTTTTCATGAGGGACATTAAAATCCATTAGCGTTCGCACTGACTCCCATATACCACAAGCAGATTAAATCTGGACACGCGGTGGCTGTGTAAATATTGCATAAACATTTTCCCGCCGTACATGCAGTAGAGTATGAATGAGAATGAACTAATGGCTGGGATTTATGCTGGCCGCTGATGGCTCACAGTAAGAGTTTTGTTCCATTTACCTGCTTGCGTCGGAGTATTTCGAATAAAAAGCCAATAATGTGTGTGCTGGTAAACATCCAAGAAATTACATGAAATGACTCTTGCGCTCAGCGCCTGCAATTCAGCCAACATAATGAAAAAGGCCGTTGCATTAAGTCAGTAGAGCGGTTTATAGACTGGGAAACTGATGCTGATTTCGAAAAGCATGCTGAGAAAACGGTATGCAGATCGGCACACGCACTGTTGTGATTGTGATCATAATTACAGTCATTAATATTATTGCAATTCACAAATGAAACGACTTGCCTGCGTATAAGTAGCGACCCGTTGACCAAATTGAGGATATGATGGCTAGACTTTTATAAATAGAAATCGCAGATGTTATTTTACTTAAATGAGTGGTTTTCAAGGCTTCTAAATACGTTTTTGTCCCTTTTTGTCCTATAATTCTGACTTTTTTTCTCGCAATTCTGACTTTTTTTCAGTTTTCAGTGCTTTAAAAAGTCAGAATTGTGAACTCAGAATTCCGATTCTCGCTATTCCAAGTTTCGAAATTTCGAAAATCTTGAAATTCTGACTTTTTATTCTCAAAATTCTGAGTTCATATCTCGCAAGTCTGTCTTTTTCTCAGAATTCTGAGGTTATAACTCACAATTCTGACCTTTCCCCTCTCAGAATTCTAAGTTTATATCTCGCAGTTCTGACGTTTTCCCCTCAGAATTCTGAGTTTGTCACAATTCTGACTTTTTTCCTCAGAATTCTGAGTTTATATCTTGCAAGTCTGTTTTTTTTTCACCACGAAATGAAAATCTTCAAAGGTAATTGCGACTTATTATTTCAGTTCTGACTTTTGTTCTTGTAATTGCGAATTTGTCTCGCAAGCCAGACATTTATTCTGAGAACTGTGAGTTTATACCTCACAAATCAGCCATATCTTCTCAGAGTTCTGACTTTTTGCTCTTTCTCTCAGAATTGCAAGAAAACAAGTCCAAATTGTGAGATTAAAAAAAAATCACAATTACTTTTTTCTGTTGTTGTTGTTATTATTTTTTTTATCCCATGGCAGAAACAGCTTCCATATCATCTGACCAATGTCCTGCAATTATTTATTAATGAAAATGCGTGCAGGTTCAGTCAAGTATGTTTTAAGCAGCAGTGGTTAGCATTGTGCATTTGAAAAGATTAATTCAATAGACTTTGAAAAGCAAATGAATTACAATCCAAAGAAAAACAGGTTGAGAGTTTGATTAATGGACTCAAGTGACACATAAAATACCGGGCGCAGATGATTAGCGACTGGTCAATAGCGTTGGCGAGTCTCTGCAGTGCTACCTAATACTCCCAGCACTGGTCAACATAAACACAGCTGTTTAACACCCTCCGCGCGCAAACCCATGATAAATCTCAGCTTTGTGTGAGGTCACGGGGCTACCTTTTCCC